AAAATTAAAAAAAAAAAAAAAAAAAAAAGGTAGTTCCTATACAAACTTATCCAGTAGGAGACACAAGACAAACTATAAAATTAGGTTGAACCATCTAACATAGCCACAGCATTCAACCACTGACTCAATAGCAATTGCATGTGGTTCAACCTAAATATCTGGAAAAACAAAATAACTGAGGAATAAGAGTACTTTGTATGAGCTCTAGATGAAACAGTTAAAAATACAACAGTACACACATATATACCACATGAGTATGGGAAGAAAGGTAGGTTAAAGGAACATTGTGGAAGGCCATTAGTGGAAGTCTTTGAGGTCATTTGAGTAGGGGGTTATCACCTCAGGGACAAACCTATAAAAATTCACCTGGCTACTACGTGAAGTTCAGAGTGAGAAACTAGTAAGAAAGTTACAGCAAAAATCAAGACTGATAGGATCCCAGCCCTGGCCAGCCACCAAAAAGAAAAAAAAAAGAAAACAAAACAAACAGTAATAATGTGATTGACAGCAAGCTCTCTGATAAGTTCCATACTAATTGCATCTTTAATGATAAGCATAGTGCTTAGCAGACAGCAGAAACAAAACAGATCTTTGTTCAATTGAAATGATTATGGAGCTATAGGATCTGTAAACTGGGTGTGGAGGGAAGGAGTCACCACAAATGATTCTTAGTTTGAGCACCTCGGAGAACAAAGGTGTCACTAACAGAAAGAGATACTAGGGAAGTAGCTACTTTGAGAAAAACAATTTGAATTTGGACAAGTTGAAGTTCAGATGCCATCAGTATTACAAGAGATATAGATAAATAGGACTCTTAAGTATTGAACAAAGAAGAAGGCAAGTCTAAATTACCCTTTATTACAACATCAGTTCTCTCCCCTCCCCCACTTTCTCTCTCTCTCACAAACACACACAACCCACCCCCACACAAATACTGAAATAGTATTAACAGTCTTCTTAAATGAAAACAACAAATTAGACAAACTTATACTCACATTATTATCCGAGGGTGATATTCCATTACTGAGTTATTAAGATAAAAACGCTTGAAATACATACAGGCTGTACCCTAAGGTTAAAAAAATGTATATTATCAGGCTCTATTCACACAAATGTTACAAGTCAAACTGTGTGGGGGGAAAAATTTACGCAAAGGTTTCTTTGAAAAGGTTCCCCATACAAATACCAATTGTTAATTTTTCTTTAATCAAAATAAATTGTGATGAACTACTAGAGAAATGCCTTAGCGAAAAAGACCCTTTCCTACCCTGTGGCTGTCCATTCCCAGCCCACCCTGAGTAAACCTTCCTATGGTCACTGGATTTAAAAATAGGTGTTTATGTATGTTTATTTATTTTAGAATTAAGAGTAACAAAAATGTGCTGAATTAGGAAAACTCAAGGAGAAAAATGCAAATGTTCACAGAAAACCAATCTTATAAAAAATATTGACAGAATAACACGGTTGGGGCAATAAGCCTTCTCTCTAAATCCACTCCAAATCTGTGATATAACTGTGATCACTGCTGCCAGACTGAACTGTAGAAGCAGCACCTACCATTTATTGAATGCATCCCATGTAACAAACTGTGCCAAGCACAAAACTATCATCCTATTTTAATCCTTACAATAGCTTGGTGAAGAATCACTATCTCTACAGAGAAGGAAACTGAGTATCAATGTGGTTAACTGACTTATTCAAGGTCACACATCTAATAAGGGACAAGGCTAGATTCAAGTACCTGCCTGTATTTTCAACTACTACGTCATTTGCCTAGAATAAAATAACCACTTATCTATTTTATGATAGAAAAAAGACTATTTCCTTTTAAATATATTTAAAGTTCAGTTTTGTCATTTTATGTGAAACAAAAACAAAATTCTTCACCAATCATAAAAAAGCATGTTTTTAAAGATAAATTCCACAAAAAGGTAATTCAACGATTCAGTTTCTACATCCAAAAATGTGACTTAAACCTCATTTTACAGTTCTTTTACCAGAAAAGAAGAGAACCAAATCCAGAGATAGAAACTAATTAAGTTCACCTAAATTCTTGATGAATCTTTGATCTCTTACCTTAGTTTCTGGTAAACTAAGAAAAACAAAACACTATAAATACTATTGGACTTAAACCTGTGCAATAATAAGCAAGGTAAAAACATTTTACACACCCTCACACTCCAGCTTTTTTTTATCTTTTAGCATTTTAATCTCAGCTATCTGTTTCTCCTCAACACTGCCCACCCCAGCATAAAACAACAGGGTCATCAGAACCATACATCTGGAAACATTCATAAGACTTTTTTTTAAGGTACATCTCCAACTTCTACTAATCAAAGCCTAAAAAAATTTTAGGGCATGAGTTTCACCTGGGGCATTTGATTACAACTGATGAACAAATGCATTATTTCAAACATGTATTAATTAGGTATGATAGAGGTGAAAAAGTACTAGTCTACGTTCTGGTCCCAGTTCTCTTTCTCACTGGCTGAGGACTTGGAGGAAAAGTAATTTAGTTTTTTCTTTCTCTATAAAATGAGGATGTCATAATCTGTCCAGTAGACCTCAATATTCTTTTGACTGTTAAGTGAGACTTGAAAAACTTTGTTTAAAATATAACACAGAAATTCACGATTTAAGGCCTTTATTGAAAAATATATAATGTGGCAAAAACTGAATATAACCAAGGTGAATTTTTGAGAGAAAAGTGGATAGAGAACTTAGTTACAGATTTAGAAGGGGTCAGATATCATAAACCAGCTAAAGGACATTAAAACTTCATCACTAGCATAACTCACCACAACAGATCTTGGCATTGCTGGCTTAAACACTGAACAGAATTCCAATAATCTTTTCTCATAGTATTTGCAGAGTGTCATTTCTTCCTGAGGCTCAAGAAACACTGGATCATTTGGAAGAATCTGTAGATCAAAAATCACAAGTTCAGTGAATTAAACAATTGCAAAATATTTTTCTGTGTTCAGATTATGAAATAGACGTGAGTTAAAGGTAAATGTAAAGTAGCTGAGTACCAGTAGATTGGGAGGCACCGAATATTTGCTGGAGTGAAGCCTGGGCTAGAATGAGTGGTGGAGCTTCAAGAAAAAATTAAACCAGGCAGGGAGTTGGAACAGAAAGGACTTGGCTAACAAGTCACAGTCCAAACCACTTTTAGTCAACTAGTTTGTGCCAACGGTCTGTCTCCCTCTCATCCAACCCATTTACCACCAGCTTGCTGGGGGCTCTTTCCAGAATTGAGTTATAATTCAAGGCTAATTTCCCTTTTTATATCTTTCAAAGGTTCCTCCACCTTTCAGTATAAATTTCAAACTCCTTACTTCCGCTTACAAGTTCTCTGACTACTTTCTCCAGCCATTCCTACATAGGTACTCAGCTTCGGCTACACAGGACCACAAGCATGTCATGCACCCGCCCTGCAAATTCTGACCTCCCACTTTGTACCTGTGGCGCCATTTGCCTGGAATTTCCCTCCTCCATTTTCTCCCCATCAGCTACTGGGAAAAGCCTCCCCCGACATGCTCGCTTGCCCGCACTATCTTTGCACCCTACAAGACTCTTCTTCGCCACGTTATGGTGGTCGTCTGACTGCCACTCAACTACAGGGACAGCGTTGTTCGTCTCTGTACCCACAAGACATGGCAAGGTACTCGCTTATTAGGTGAACAGGTAAACGCACTCCGCGCCGCACAAGCAGTGGCGGAAAGAAGTGAGGTAGCACTGGGAGATAGACGAACTCCCGCAGGTGTTCAGAGTTTAGAGGCCGGGACGGGGGGCGGCCGCAGGAGGCCTCACCTTCCCGTTGGCCACCGCTTTGCATTTGAATTTGCGATTGGCGTCGGCCCGCAGTCGCGCCAGCTGCTCCTCACTGGCGAAAGTCCAGTGCCGCTTCTGGCTACTGTTGTGGTACATAGTTGAGTCGCAGACCAAGCCCCGGGAGCCTGGAGTAAAAGACCCCAAACGCAGCAGCCGGTGGCGCAAAACAACTATGCCAAAACCAGGACCCAGCAGAAGCCCAGGGAGTCAGGCTTGGCGGCGCGGGCGCGCTGACGTCACGGTCACGTGCCGAGTCCATGCGCAGTCGCGTTTCCGGGGCGGACTAGGAGATTATCTTCTGCGTTTGGACGGCCGACTCCTGCGACGCAGCTGGGCGGGGCCTACGGACCCGCTCCCTCCTTTCTGTGAGTCTGGGATCTAGCTCCGCCCCTTCCAGGCAAGATTTAAAGGAGAAGCGACAGGCAAAGGTGTCCAAAGGGACATAAATTGATGTATGGAGTAGACGGACATAAATTCACATTGGGTAATCAGAAGTGTGGAAAGGACTTGGGAGGGTGTCAGTTTTAAAATATGGGCCTAAGAAGGTGACGTTTAAGCAAAGGCTTGAAGGAGTTGCTGAAGTCGGTCATGTGGGGACAGATCATGGGGCAAAGAGAATAGTTAAGGTCCTAACGCAAAAACATTCCTAGATCTTTTAAGGAAGAATGTGGAGACCGGTGTTCTCAGAGCACTACCAAAATCCTTGAGGAATGGGAAAAGGTTAGAAAACTAGAAGCAGTGGGTGTGTATTGGTCCTTACTGATCTGCCACTGATCTGACCTTGTCTATTCTTTTCCTGTGCTTTTTTTCATACCCTTCTGTTGATAACTAGCCAGTCCTCTCCTATTTCCATCTCTGAAGCCAAGATATATGGTAGTTTTAAGATTTTCTTGAGATCCCCATCTTCATTATTGCCCCTAGAGAGACTAACAATAAACCATCATTAATACTTAAGAGATTTAATAATTTTTTTTTTATTATTGGTACCTTCAAAATTGCATTTGAAATACAAAATTTACATTGAATCCAAAAGCCCTTGCTGGTTTTGATATTTGTCCCACTTAGGCATACCTTATTCTTTGTATCACACATCCAGTCAGAAAGATCAATTTACCTATAGCAAGTAGTCTTTCTAAAAACAAATTAAAATCACATAAAGATAGTGAGACCCAGAGAGTTTAGGTCTTGAAAAATTCACACAGGTAAAAAGAGGTGGCAGAATGATTTTAACTCTGCTTTCTATGAAAATGTTTTTAGAGGCTTAAGAACGGGAAAGCCTTTTCTTTTTGTTGCATTTTTGTTGGGTGCAGTTGAGGGTAGAGTTTGCCACCATTACTTGAATTCCTCACACGTATACCGTTTGTAGTTTGTAATTTTGGAGATACATGCACTCCTTGAGTATATGTGGGTAATCTGGACTAGTAAATTGGCTAAGAAAAGAGAGAAAAAAAGTAAGGAGAAGATATGGTGATGCTAAAGAAGGACATGGCAGGTTATGAGTCCAGTGGATTGTGAACAACCTAAAAGGTTGTCTAATGGGAAAAGAAGAATAATTTAAAAGGGGAAAAAAAAAAACATACAAAAGATAGACATGAAAAGAAGTGATCTAGACAAATGAGTGTATGTATAAAACCTTAGAGTCATGACAGTTATGTATAACATATCAATTCTCTTTATTTTGTTTTTCTCAAGGATATTTGACAACTCCTCAGTTTTATGTAAAGGAAAATAAAAATGGGGGAGCTGACAGTGGGGATATGAGTAAAATTTCTGAATGTCATAGTTCATTTAGGAAGACATTTGAAAAACCTGATGTCACTGGTGTAACTAGTTTTTAAAACCTTTGACAAATCTCAGTCTATGGAAATTAACATTGACCATATTTTAGGATGTAGTAGGATTTGGGCTGTATCTAAATTAACCATCTACAGAATAAAATTGTTGCTGATGCCCAACATTAAGGCTTGTGTATGATTCCTTTTTATTAAAGTGAGAAGGCTGGATGCTTCATTAGTCAGTCAGCCTGAGTAACATTGTGCTGTTCAGTCTGTTGAGTACCAATTTGTTACTTTGCTATTGCTACAGCGGAAAGGCAGACTGGGGACTTAGAACTTGGTGCCTTTACCTATTTCCAGTTCCAACTAAAAAGTAGTAAGTGTTCTTCTCAACTCTTACTATTTTTATTTTATGGAAAATTTCAAATATCAAAAATAGAGAGAGGGGCTGGCCAGTTAATTCAGTTGGTTAGAGTGTGGTGTTGATAACACCAGGGTCAGGAGTTTGGATCCACTCACAGGCCAGCTACCCAAAACAAAAAGAAAACAACAATAACAACAACAAAAAAATAGAGGGAAACATATTTCAACAATTATCTATAAATAACCAATTCTCTTTCACTCTCCACCCCACCCCCATCACTTTTAAATCACAATTTCCCTGATACTAGATGGAGATATTTCAGACAAACAAATAAAACAGATAGAGTCTATCTTCGCAGAAAAATTATAGAGAAATTCACAACTTTGTGACAAAGATATTACTGTTTCACCAGACACTACTCAGAAGTGAAATATTAACAGGCAAGATTTCAGTGACTTTTTAAAGTAAACACATCTCTTTTATTGTGCTGCAATTATCAAATTGTGTTAAAATATGTATTTTAGATATTTGAGACTAATTTTAGATATTTTGACTGCGGGCTTTACCTCTAAACCAAGGGTTGCCAGTCAGAGATCAGGCAATACAAAACAGTTGTCATCTGTTGGCCACCACAGAAATGCTATTCCAAAGTTTTTCATGAGAGTGTTAAGATTTCTTATCTCTTGCTTCAGGACAGTCTTCCCTCTTCTTCAGCTTCTACCCTAATGATATTAATGTTTTGGGAAAAATAAAAAATAAAAAGGTCAGACTGCCTGATCTTAGGAGAAAAGGAAGAAAAAGGAGAATTAGAAGGGTGGCAGAGTGACCAATAAATGGGTGCAACTTGGAATAATTTTGCAGTCTAATAAAACATCGTAAGTGGCCTGATTAATTTATATTCCTCATTTGCCAAACATATCAACATACTCGTATCCATATAGTTTCTGATCTCAGGGCCACAAAGAAAAAAAGGGGTGGGGGAAGAGAATAAACTACATCTAAGCTTTCAGAAACACGCAATATCTTTCTCACTGTTGAAGTGAGCAGGAATGAAGCCATGTTGGGACCTAAATCTGCACAGGCTTTAGAAAAAAAAAAAAAAAAAAGACAGTTTTTTTTCCTCAGCATGTATTCCTCTTTTCCCATGGTAATTTGATATTTTGAACCTTGGTTACAGGGCAAGGTGACATTATTTATGTAAATGTAAAATTGTTTTCCAGTCAACCTGGAGTTGCAAACTTTCCACAGACGCATATTATCCAGATCCTGAGAAACCAAGGAAGACATCAATAAAGCTATGCTGATTCTACCCTAAAGCAAATCAAAATCCTGCAGGACCCTAAGATAACGTCAAGGATAAGAACAAAAACCAGATGGAGCCTTCATAAGAATTCGCACCTGGCCTCTTACACATCCTCCTGCCTCCTGCTTTCCACTTCCCACATTCCATTCCCTCAATCCCCTCTTTAAAAACGCCTCAGTAAACCTGAGTTTTTGAGATGGCTTTAGTCTGGCCATTACCCTTTAGGTTTACTGGAGAGATGGGTTAGCCTGCCATCTCTCCTCAGGTTGCCAGTATTCCTGAATAAAAGCTGACTTCTGTTTTCACCAACATTTGATTTTGGGGTCATTTGTTTTCATTTGGGGCAGGCAGCCAGACTTGGGTTTGGTAACAAGATTTTGGTGAGCCACAGCCAGGAGCTGATTGCCCTGGGGTAATAGATTTTGGCAAGCCATGCCAGGTTTTTTGTACAGGGTGGGCAGCCAGTCAGACTTGGGTTTGGTAACATTACTTTAAAATCTGACATGAAACTGTACTCCTTCAGCTACTGACGTGGGTTTCTTACATTTATTTTTAAAATTAGTTTTTCTGACATTTTAAATATAGCTTTGCAATGACTATTCAAAAACCATTAAGCCCTTTGCAATTCTGTCTGGCTAATACACAGTTAATATGGGATCTAAAATTCTTTCCTAGTTTTATTCCCAGTTGTTGAGTAACAACTAAGAAAAGAAAAGGAATTGCCCACAGCAAATACCTAGTTTCTCCAAAACAGAGTACTGCTAAAGGAATAGAAAAGAAATAAGAAAGAGCATTTAAAAAACATTCTTGATCTAATGTGACCCACCCCCATCATTGAAATGCTTTTGTTTTAGGACTATTTAAAATTAAGGTGTGAAGAAGACTTGACAACATACTAAAAAGTAAATCCTATAAATCCATGCCCAATTCAGCAAATACTTACTAAATCACCAGTATATACAAGGCCTGGTTCTAACTGCTAGGTACTAGTGATGATAGTGATGAGGACACAAAAATGACTATCTCACAGTCCCTACCCCAGAGTCCTTACAGTATAGTAGAATGATTATTACATGTACAAATGCAGTCCTCTCTTAATGACAGTAACCTTGGATAGGGCTGACAAAGACTCTCTCCACTAACCAAAACTTGTCAGACTCTTCTGAGTTTTCTGCCTGACTAGTCCACTCCTTGGGCTTCCCACTATGTCCTTACAGAATCCAGTTTAAGCAAGAATGCTGCTAAGTCAGTTTAGTGAAAATCTTCTACCCTAGGTGTCTGACAACATCTTACACCTTAGCCTGCCTTCAGCAATAATGTTATCAAGTCAATTTGATATAGGAGGTGTTCAGTTTCCCTGGGTTCCGCTTTGAGGACATGCCTTTGGGTTTCCAGCTGTACTCTAAGGTCTCAGGCCCTCTCCTCTGGGCTCATCCCTGGAGGAAATTTCCTGTTGCCAGTTAGACCTATTTTCAGCACCAACATGTGGAAAATGAGATCACAGGGGCTGGCTTACGCAAATCTAGTGGCTGGGCATGCTCAATAGAGAGCACCGGACATTCTCAAACATGCCTGGAACATGTGATAGAGTCTGACCAATGAACATGCTCCAGGAAGAGACCAACTGAGCATGTGCAATACTAAATGTTACATAACTGGGAACCATTGGCTTAATTTAATATTCATTAGATAGAGAAACTATAAAAGCAGAATCCCAGCCAAAGGTGGAGTTGTTGCTCACTCTCCTGGAGGCAACCCACACTTCACCTTCA